CCCCCCCCTTTTTTTTTTTCCTCTTGCGATCACTGCAAGCACGAGCAAAGCTTCGATTCATGCACTCGCACTAGTACACAAAGTGGGGTGCAATCGGTTCAGAATAATGAGTTATCACTTTATTCGCACACACGCGCGTCGAAATCACGCTCACGACTCGAGACGTCGATGGCGCAGTGGCGCAAGAATGACCGCTCGTCGAATCGCGATCAGGTCTGCGATGCTTGGAGAGCGCAGTAGTAGTAGCAGTCTGGGTCGTGTTCCGCCGCTCTTGAACGCCGTGGGAATCGCAAGCCTCGATGAGCAGACAGCAAGTCAAAATGTATGTATGGAATCGTTAGAGAAGACCTCGCTCGACGGACAGAGCTATACACAGGAGAGACAGAAGAAGAGAGCGGGACAAGAGAAGGTGGGCGGCCAAGAGCGGGGCGAATGGTGAATCGAGGACTTGAGGAGAGAGTGTGTGTAGCGGCTGCCTATATTTGCGCGTTGGTGTGTTCGGACGAACACAGCACTCAAGAAAGTGGCGCAGACCGTTTTTTTCGTCAATGTTCGACTTGCCGATGTAAGCACCGCTGCACAGACTACCGTGACTTGCCAGCCTCAGCAATTGCAACCCTCTCCAGCACCGCCTCTAGCATCGTTCTGGCCCAACCGCAATCCGCCTTGACCCGCGCTCGCACTTGCCCCAGCTGCATTGCCGTTGGCATTGCCGCTGCGCTGCTGCTGTGATTGGATCTGGTCGATGGGAATCTTTTTGGCTGCGATGTAATAGGGTGAGCATAAGGCGGAAGCGGTGGTTGCGCGCGTCAGCGATAGTGTTATGCAGCAGAGGATTTTTTTCTCCCCACAGAGTGCGGCGATGCACAGACTCACCAATTTCGGTGAAGAGCTCGACCACACCTTGACCAGTCTTCGCGCTCGTCTCAAAAAACAGTAGGCCACCTTCTTGAGCATACGCTGCAGCTTCCTCCTTGGGTACTGCTCTTGTCGCACCACCTGACGAGTTGCCGTTAGAGTTCCCACCTGCGCCAGTAGTAGTCGCATCGTCCTCCTCCTCCTCCTCCTCATCATCATCATCATCCGCTGCACTGCCGCTGCCGCCGCCCCCACTCAGCAGATCAATCTTGTTGCCCACCAACGCGATGACGATGTTTGGGTTCGCTTGCCTTTGAAGCTCCTTGACCCACGACTTGGCCTTCTCGAACGAGCTCTGCGCAAAGGTTGGGAAAGGTGCGACATGCTCAGCGCGCGTGTCGTGGAGCAATGCAAGCGTGCACACTCACAGCCTTTGTGACGTCGTAGACGACTGCGCTTGCTTGTGCATTTCTGTAATACATGGGGGCCAGACTGTGGAATCGCTCCTGGCCGGCGGTATCCCAGATCTCAAACTTGATGATCGCATTGTCTAGCCGGCATTTTTGCTGGATGGGGAAGGGGAGAAAGAGGATGGGTGTCAGCCAGGAGGAGCGACAGGCGCTGGCTGCATCACAAACCCGAAAGGCGAAATTGCGGCCGACTGGAAACGCGGCATTGGCGTCAAGGACTGTGCGCCTCCATAGCGGCTCACATTGACGCCACCTGCGGTGCTCAGGCTTGGCAGCAAAGAAAGGCGCATACATGCTCCCCTATCCGCTCTTGGACACTCACAGTCAGAAATGCAGCGCCAATGGTGGGCTCCTTGTTCTCTGTATACTCGTCCGACACGAACCTGAGCACGACTGATGATTTGCCCACAGCAGCCTCACCCAACAGCACCAGCTTGGCTTGCCATGGCTTTTGCGTAGCTGCAGGCGCTGCAGCTGCTGTCGAAGATGATGCGGATTGAGCGTTGCTGGACATGCTTGGGGAGAGTGTGAATCCAGCTTGGTTTGCGTGCTTGTGTGCTTGCGTGCTTGCGTGACTGCTTGCCTTGTGCGCTGATAGCGGACAGCGGTGGGGTCGAGGGGCGACTACAGGAAACGCTGTCAATGGATGATCACAGTGAAGCGACTTTGCCGAGGAGCAGAGTGGTGTGAGTGGTGTGAGTGGTGTGGATGGTGTGAGTGGTGTGAGTGGTGTGGATGGTGTGAGTGGTGTGAGTGGTGTGGATGGTGTGAGTGGTGAGTTTGAAATGATCTGTGCGTTGGAGGTGGATTGGCATGTGCGAGTGATGAGTGAACGATGCTGGGACTCGCACTGGGCTGCAGCCACGAGGCTGAACACAGAGGGACGTTGTACGAGAGGGAG